GACCGGGGTCTGGAGGCGGGGGTTGAGCGAGGCGGCGGGCCCTGGACGTGTCGGGGCGCACGGGGCAAATGGAGGCCTGGGAGGGACCGCGCGGATGCTAACCTCCCCCTCCCTCCCACAGCAGCGATCCAGACAAGATGGTGAAGGTCGGAGTGAACGGGTGAGTGAGAACGGGAGTAAGGTGGGACCGGAGCTGCGGCCTAGGCTGAATTCCGTCTTCACGTGTGGCGGGGCCCGAGGCTTTGCAGTGGCGTGTGGAGGTGCACCCCCGCCCCAAGGAGAACTCAAGGTCACTTCTCAGACCTGGACGAAGGCCCGGTGGGGCTTTGCATTCCCTGCTCCAGCCTCCTGCCCCTTCGCCCTTGCGGGGACGAGCTGCCCCGCCCCAGATAGACAGGAGCGGGCCTGCGCCAGCCCCGGATCCATTCCCTGAGGCTTAGGGGCCGGGGTTCTTTCTTTGCTTTCGCGCCCTGTGGGTCACGTGCTGCGAGGAGCCCCTCCCCCACCTTTGCAGCCCAGCGTTGCGGGGAGAGCGTTCTGCGCATCAGTAGGGTTTGCTGCCGTAACCCGCTGCCATGTTGCAATGGGGAAGGAAATGAATGGACCTCCATTAGGAAACCTTCCGCGCTCTCCTGCCTTCCTCCCCCCGTGCGGTGACTAATCCTCACTCAGCAGGGTGGAGCCTTCCTCACCGGTTCTGGTGCTCCGTGGAGCTGGACCTGAGAACACAGCTATAGTCTCTAGAATAAGCCTCAAGCCTGATTGTACCTCAGCCCTGTTGCTTTTTCTAGATAATTCTCAGATCAGCTGCAGGTTTAGAGAGCTGTTTCCGCCCACCCTCGGAGGTGTGGTGGCCGTGGCTCCTTGCCAAGCGGCAGGGGGAGCTGACTCATGGTTAGAAAAGAAAATTTGCAGCACAAAATGGCTCTGGCTCGAGCAGCCCCTTCCCATCACAGCCTAGCTGTGACCCAACCCCAAAAGGTCGGCTGTAAAGGTCACTGTGAGGATTAAATGTCAGGGAGCCCCGGGAATCCTGCCCCGTTACCCCATCCCATCTTCCAGAAACCAGATCTCCCTCCACCCTTCTGAGGTTAAATATAGCCGCCGACCTTTCTGTAGCTGGGGGCCTGAGCCCTGCTCTGCTGCACCCCCTGTCCCCCACCCACTGTTCCTCCCTCTGGATTAGAACTGGGAAGGACAGGTAATTTAGCCAATGGGAGCTCAAGGATGAGGAGCTTGGAAACTAGGTCTTCTCACTCTTTCCCCTTTGTAGGAGGGACTTGGGGAAGGGGTGGCCTTCCCTGGTCCAGTCAGTGTGACCTTTACTCCTGCCCTTTGAGCTAGTGGTGCCCAGTCCCCGTCGTTGTTCCCAGGAAGGTGTAGCTGGAATCAGCCAGGAATGGATGGTGGGGGTGAACGCCACTATGTGCCAAGCTTTTTCTAAGCTTGTTTGGCAGTGCCTCCCTTGCTGCTTCTCGGAGGACTCTGGATGACTGGGGGCCAGAAAGTCTTAGAACCTAACCTCTTCTTGGGCAGGAAAGGCAACTCCTCTGTATGGCTGTAGTGTGAAACCAGCCCACCTGGTGGGGTTCCTCAGGGAAGAATAATGGGACCTCATGGTGGGAAAATTCAGTTCAGTTGACCCTCATATCCAGTAGTTGAATTTGGGCAACTGGATCAAAGATATTTAGGGAGGGAGTTCTAGAAAGTCCTCAAGACATGAATTTCTTGCCCACAATGTACTATAATGAATCCACATGAATGATGTAATGTGTAGGCATTTAGATATTGGGAACAACCCAGAAATGGTGATTTTAAAGCAGCCAGAGGACAGTGTGCAGCAATAAGCTTTTTTTTCTTTTCCTTCAGACGGGGTCTCACATGTGGTTAAGCTGGCCTCGTTCAGGGTGCTCTTTTCTGCCTCAGCCTCCCAGCTGCTGTGATTTCAGGCATTCACCACACACACCTGGCCAGCATCCCATCAGTTTTAGTATGTGTGAGGACTTTCCTGGGGATCAGTCCCCTGTGGGTATCCAGGGAGGATTCATCCGCTGAGGCCCTCACAATGTGCCCTCCTCTGTCTAAATTCTCCATCTTGAGAATTCTCTGCCACCCCTCATTGCTTTGTTGCCTCTGGTGTCCCTCAGATTTGGCCGTATTGGACGCCTGGTCACCAGGGCTGCTATTCTCTCTGGCAAGGTCGAGGTTGTGGCCATCAATGACCCTTTTATTGACCTCAACTACATGGTGAGTATGTGCCTGGTGCTATGAGGAGGAGCCGCCTGTGTGGCTACACCCTGACACCTACCTGCCCCCAGGTCTACATGTTCCAGTACGATTCCACCCATGGCAGGTTCAATGGCACTGTCAAGGCTGAGAACGGGAAGCTCTCCATCAACGGAAAGGCTATCACCATCTTCCAAGAGTAAGTGCACAAGAGTGGGATAACTGCCTTGGGGGCGTCTAGCAGGGTGGGATGCCCACGAGCTGTCCTCTGTTCTCTCAGGCGAGATCCCGCCAACATCAAGTGGGGTGATGCTGGCGCTGAGTATGTAGTGGAGTCCACTGGTGTCTTCACTACCATGGAGAAGGCTGGGGTAAGTGGCATGAAGCTCAGACAGTGGTCCTCACCCTGGGGTGTGGCACAGCCAGGAAGCCAAGTTTTGTAAGCATCTTCCTTTGTCACAGGCTCACCTGAAGGGTGGTGCCAAAAGGGTCATCATCTCTGCCCCTTCTGCCGATGCCCCCATGTTTGTGATGGGTGTGAATCACGAAAAGTACGACAACTCCCTCAAGATCGTCAGGTGAGTGGGCAGCGCTGGGGTGGCAGCGGATCCTGGGGTTTATGGTAACTCTGATGGCAGCAGGGCCCCCTAACTTGCCTCTGTTTGCAGCAATGCTTCCTGTACCACCAACTGTTTAGCCCCACTGGCAAAGGTCATCCATGACAACTTTGGCATTGTGGAGGGACTCATGGTATGCAGAGTGGGCTGGAGTTCCTGTCCTGGGGTGTGGGTGTTGTGCAGGGCCTTAACTTCTGGTTTTCCAGACCACAGTGCACGCCATCACTGCCACCCAGAAGACTGTGGACGGCCCCTCTGGGAAGCTGTGGCTTGATGGCCGTGGGGCTGCCCGGAACATCATCCCTGCATCCACTGGTGCTGCCAAGGCTGTGGGCAAGGTCATCCCAGAGCTGAACGGGTAAGGCTGCTGCCTGGGAAGCCAGAGGGCTGGGGGGCACCAGCATAGGGTGGAGCTCACATAACCCTTGTGTGTCTGCAGGAAGCTCACAGGCATGGCCTTCCGTGTGCCCACTCCCAATGTGTCGGTGGTGGATCTGACCTGTCGCCTGGAGAAAGCGGTACGTTGGGCAGGCTCCAGTGGGCTGAGGCTTCACTTGTGACTGAGGTGGGTTGATCCCTGAGTCTCTGCCTTGGGTTTAACCTATTAGGCTAAATACGACGACATCAAGAAGGTGGTGAAGCAGGCCTCAGATGGTCCCCTCAAAGGCATCCTGGGCTACACTGAGGACCAGGTACTCCTGGGGCTTGGAGCTCAGTCCCTCCCTGCACAGTGCCTCAGCAGGGCCAGCCTCCCCATACCAAGCTTCCTCCCTTCTGTAGGTTGTGTCTTGCGACTTCAACAGTGACAGCCACTCTTCCACCTTTGATGCTGGGGCTGGCATTGCCCTGAATGATCACTTTGTGAAGCTCATTTCCTGGTAGGTGGCTGGGATGGGTAGGGCAACAAGGCAGATAAAGTAGCCTGGGTTCTGGCACCTACAGGGGCTGGTGCGGAAGAGCCGCTTCTCATATCCCCACTCAACCTTACAGGTATGACAATGAGTTCGGCTACAGCAACAGGGTGGTGGACCTCATGGTCCACATGGCCTCCAAGGAGTAAGTGGCCCCCACCACCACAGCCCAGCGAGACCAGAGGGATGGAGAGGCCACGCTGTAGAAGTCGTCACTGCCCTACTCAGCCCCGATACTGAGAATCTCCCCCTCACAGCTTCCATCCTAGGCCCCCTAGAAGGGGAAGGGCCTTGGGATCCCTGGCTCGCTGCCCTTGCACACCATCAATAAAGCCCATTGTACCCAGCTCTGCTGTCTGCTGCTTCTTGGGGTTGGAGGCTGGTCCTAAGGTGAAGGCCAGCACACTCTTGGCAGCTCAGACCCATAATGATCCCATCTTCAGCCTCCCCTGCACATGTACCATGCCAGGTGGCTAGTAGCCAGCTCAGCATATCAATGAATGGGGCCAGCTACATCATGTGGTGCTGGGCAGGGCTGGTCCCTGTGCTTGCCTAATCCAGTGTTCGGTCTACTGAGCTAGATAATGTGCGTAGCCCCCTACACACTTAACGCCCACCATGTGCCTTCCTCTAAGGGGTCATTTGCTGTTACCTGGCTGCCTGTCAGGAAGATGCCCTGCGTATCAGCCGGACGTGATTGACTGTGGAACTGACCTCTGAAGGAGTGCAATAGACTACATGGAGTTGGGGCTCAAACTCCAGCTCCTGGAATGGACTGGCTGTGTGGTCTTGAGCAAGCTATTTACCTTCCTGTACTTTGTGTTAAAACTGGGTCATGGTACCACTGTGTGTGCATTAGACAATAGACCGGCTGGATAAATGTGCAAGCAAAGCACGCCTAGTGAGCAAACTGGCACTAAAACAGGTTACTGCAGCCCTCAGTGAGGGGAAGTGGGCCTGAGGGGTGGGGCCAGCCTCTGCCACTAGCTGTTCCCTTTGGGAATTTGCTTGTCAATTCCTGTCCTGGCTTTCAGGATTGAAATTTGCATGTCAGTGAAGATTCTAGCTACGGTGTCAGAGAAAGTATTTGAGGGGCCAGGGAGATGGCTCACTGGAATAAGTGCTTCCCTGGCAAGCGCAAGGGTCTGAGTTCAATCCCCAGTTCAGCCAGAACAAAAAGTTTGAAACACTGAAACCAAATTGCTCAATAAATACTCGCCACACTGATAATTATTAAAAGATTCCATTCAAACATCAGCTCTGTGCAGCCTCCTAGGCAGGTGTTCAGAGGCATACCTTCTGGCTCGCCAAGCTTTGTCCAGGCCAGTTGGTTCTGGTGAGAGGCATGACTTCAGCTGACACTTGAAAACACCCTGAGCATTAATGTGCGCAGGCCCCCTGTGCACAGTGTCACCTCTGTCATCTAGCAGTGGTGCTTCCATTTTTCTTTTCCTTTTTTTTTTTTTTAAGCTGGTCTTGCTATGTAGTCCAGACCAGCCTTGAACTCTTAGCCCACGCTGGCCTCAACCTCACAATGATCCTCCTTCCCCAGCCTCCTGAGTGCTGGGATTACAGGTAGCATGAGCTTCCAGAACTCCAAGATACCATACCCAGCCTGGACTTCAAGGCCAGGCCAGGTGATGGGGGCCAGCTCTGGGCACCCAGCCCCTCCCTACACTCTGTTGCAAGTCCTGCACAAGCCTTCAGGGTACCTCTGGTGGATAGGCTTTTACCGGTGCCCCAGCCTCTTTGCACTGGAACAAAAACCAAAGACAGCCAGTCTAGACCCAGAGTGGAGGGCAGGACCAGTGCACATTCCTTCCACGATGGAGATGGCAGGGGCGCAGCGTGTAAAGACAGGGAAGTAGCAGACACCCACGAAGGCAGGAGCCATCCAGGGAAGAGGACTGAGCCTAGCTCCAGACACCTCATTACCGTGGGGAGCCCCAGGACAGTGTGCGGGAGGGAGAAGCCCCAGGGCCAGGCCTGGTTCTGGTACACATGAGTGATTGTCCCCTCTTGGGTGAGGAATCAGGGGCCCTGGCATAGTTGGGCCCTATCTCATGGAGCTGTCAGATGAGATATCTGGATTGGGGTCCTCAGTCTCACTTGGCGGCGGTGGCGGTGGGCCGCTAGGCGGGACCGGAGTGAAAGCAGGAGACTTTCTAGAAAAAAACATAAATTGTCACTCATCAGGGCCCAAGGCAATAAGCCCTCACCCATCGATGCATCTTCTAGCAAGCAGGTGAGTAACAACCAGGTATGGCAGATCCAGAAGGGAAGTTGGGGCAGATGGAGTCCTGATCCACACCCTGAGAGAAAATGGTCCTGGTCTTATATTGAGTGATCTATGAGGCTCAGAAGTCTACACTACCCAAGTTACAGCATAAGAGATGTTGCCTTAGCACAAACACATTATACTGATTAGGGCCCAACTTTATCTCCCTCCAGTTACTGAAGCTAGGTCTCACTATGCTGCCCAGGCTAGCCTTCAACTTCTACTCTGAAGTGATCTGGGCCTCCAGTCTCAGCCACCTGAGCGGCCAGGACTATGGGTATGCGCCAGCATGACCAGCTGTTGGTATGTTTTATATTTTTTAAATGTACTCTTTAGTTGAGATATATCCAACCAAGATCAGATGCACAAATCGTGCCCTGACTTGAGAGAAATCAGGGCCCCATCCAACCCTTGCCTGTGTTTGAGCCACCTCCCTCTGGTCAGGGGAAGCCCCAGGGCTGGTGGCACGGGGAGAGATATCATCAACTGCCCAAGGTGGGAGAGAAGCTGCTGTCTGGGGCAGGCATTGGGGGGTCCCAGAGGGCAACCTACCCAGCAGCACCTTTCCCTGCCGCAGGGCTTAGGGCTTGGAGAGGCTCTGCTTTTGACTCTTACACATCACCCAGGGTGCGAGGCTTACCGATCCCCTGACTGAGTGATGAGCCGGCGGCAGGTCTCCATTTGCACATCCAGGCCCCGCTTCATGCTGCACATCTCCATGTACTCGTGCAGGTGCCGGTTCATGTCATTCTTGGCTGTGGCCAGCTCCAGCTGCAGAGGAGCAGGAGGCTGCTGCGTTAGCAAGTCTGGGCCAGGAGGGACAACGCGCCGCTGCTACCTCAGCACTGGTGAGGCCCAGGCGGCCATGGCTGGAAGCTCAGACTTAACAAAAAATCAAAGCCAGGAATCGTGGCTCACATCAGGAATCTCAGAACTCGGAAAGTCTAGAGAATGGCAAGTTTGAGTCCAGCCACTTAGAATGACCCTAACCCAAAATAAAAAATAAAAATGGGGCTAAGGGTGTAACTCAGTGTAAAGGCTCCATGTTCAATCCCTACTACCACAAAAAAACAACCAACTTAATCAGAGGCAGAAAGCACTAAATACAGACTAAGCACCTGCTTTGGCAAGCACAGGGACCAGGATTCAATCCCCAGTCCCACATGCAGTGGCAGCCCCGCCCCCATGGCACACTGAGGTGGCAACCTAGTCTGGGTGTGGTGGCGCATGCCTGCAATCCCAGTGCTAGGGGGGCTGAAAACGGGAGGATCACGAATCTGAGCTGCGTAGTGAAAGCCTATACCAAATACATAAAATGGGAAGAAAAAAAAAAACCACCAAATATACAACATATGTCTCTGGTGTTCCTGAGAAACTTCTTTCCTTTCCTCTTTCTTGTCTGTTTGTCTGTCTGTCTTTCTTTCTTTCTTTCTTTCTTTCTTTCTTTCTTTCTTTCTTTCTTTCTTTCTTCTTTTAGGGAAGGGGCTACAGGGTGTTCAGGGTCTCACTGCTAGGTCAGACTCATTGTGATCCGGCTATTTACAGCCTCACAGCCTCACAAGAGCTGGGATTATAAGCATGTGCCACCACGCCGTCTTAGTTGCTGCCTCAGTGTGCCCCAGGGGCAGGGTTGGCACAGCAGGCTTGGGATGGCTCATCCCTGCACCACACTCAAGGCCTCTTTCCTGGGAAGCTGTCTACAGAGCAAAGCAAGGGCACAGGCTGCAGGACTAAAGGCAACAAGTCAGATGGGCGGACAGACTGGTCAGCACCCTACACCGCACAGGCAGCACCAGTGAACACCCTGCTTCTCCTCAGGGCCAAGGGCCAGCCTGGCTCACTCCTTACTCCCCATACTGCACTGGCCCTGCCTGCCCCCTTGCTACCATGTGAGCCACTCTGAGGGCTCACGAGGGGTCCTATTGTTCTCTACACACCGTGAGCTCCAGGGAACTGACTCAGCACCCTGGGAAGCAACTCCAAGGCTTATGGCAATAAGGGAATCTGGCTGCTGGTGAAAAAGGCTCCATTTGCTAAGCCTGTGATGCACACCTGTGATCCTGGCTACTCTGGGGGTGCCGAGGCAGAAGAATGCAAGTCCAAGCCCATGTTGGGCAACTTAGTGAGACCTTGACTCAAAAACGCTATTTAAGAAGTAAAAATTTTGGGCCGGGGAGATGGCTCAATGGAATAAGCACTTCCCTGGCAAGTGCAAGGGTCTAAGTTCAATTCCCGGTTCCACCAAAAAAAAAAAAAAAAAAAAAAAAAAAAAAACCCCGTTCCCCCAAAAAAAAAAAAAAAAAAAAAAAAGAAGTAAAAATTTTAAAATGGCTAGGAATGTAGCTCAGCGCTCCCTGGATTCGACCCCCAGAGCTGAAGAACACAGGCTCATGCTCCTGCCTCCTGCCCTTCCTCCCTGAACCATCTGGACACCACACAACGCCACACACGCTGACTACACAACGTCTCTGTGGGAAAGCATGGGGCTCAGGGCTCAGGGCTCAGGAGACCACTCCATGCCAAAGCCAAAGACTGCAAGGCAGAGGGGAGGCAGGGCTAAGGCAAGAAAGGATTTAGGCCACAGACAATCAGTTCTTTGCTTGCCTTTGTTTCAGAAGCCAACCGCCAGGAGGTGACGTGCCTGAGTGCTTGAAAGCAAAGAGAAAAGGAAGGAAAGTTTGCCAGAATGATGTGAACTGGGCAGGAGAAACCACCTAGAACTAATCAGAGCTGACTGGAGAGGCACCGGGGACTGGAAAAATGAGCTGGGTCTCAGGACCTGACAAAGGGTGGCCAGGACAGTGGTGTCCAGGGTAAGGTGGCAGCTGGCAGAGTGGGAGCCTTGGTGAGGATGCATGAAGGGCACGCCTATTAGTACAGCAGAGACACTGGCAGCACCCGCTCCAATCAGCTGCCACCACCCTAGCCTATCCTCCTCTTCAGGAAAGCACAGCAAAGAGGACTGGAGACCACCATTCGGGGGAAAGAGAAGAAGGAAGTAAAGCAAAAATATTCTATCAAAACACACGGCTAAGCCAGGTGCAGTGGTACATGACTGTAATCGACCCACTCAGGAGGCTGAGGCAGGACAATCACAAATTCAAGTCCTGCCTGGGCAACTCAGCAACATCCTATAACAAAAAAAAAAAAAAAAAAAAAAAAAAAAA